CCCATGCTCATGTTAGGCATCACAGTTGGTGTTTCTCTCAGTGTTGTTTTCCCCTACTGGCTCATCACTGTCCTCATTATCATCCTCTTCATGGGTATAAGCAATCATATCGAACTACATTTTTCACTCACCGTGATTAGTTTTATTAATGATTGCTTAAAATGTTATTGTTTGGTAATAGGCACTTCATCAAGATCATTTTTTAAGGCCATTGAGATGTGGAAAGAAGAAACAATTCTCAAGGTTACCTCTACTTATCCAATCATTTTTCTCCCAAATGTGCTTGAACATATATTTGATGGTAAACTAAGTCTTTTATCTTTGTGATTTTTGGGGAACTTGCAGAAATCGACGAAAGAAGTTCCAGTTAATTCACGTGGTGAACGTATGTCATCGTAAAACTAAATACCTCTCTCGTTTTTTAAATTATGTAGAAGTAACTAAAGGTTTGATCCTTGCTTAGATTAGGCTAATATTTGTTAGTTTTACTTGTGTTCTTTCAGTTGTTATTGATACAGTTTATGAGCCATTGGTCCCTAAGGAGGAGAAAACCGCACTGGTGAGTTAGTTTACCACATCAAATGGATCAAATTTATCCGTTTTCTTTCTTGGCTCCTCTTTTTAAACTTATCTTGTTGATTTTAACTGTCTAGTTCTGGTTATCTCACAGGAAATTTTCAAGTTCAATCTTAATTTGAAGAGAATTCTGGTGCTCTTTGTAGTATGGTTCGTGTTTCTGCTTCTTCAAGTGTTCAAGGCAAGTGGATTGTTGAATATGGTTGTTTCTTCTTTTTAATGTGCCAACAAATAACTTCTCCGTTAAACATTCCGTGCTATGCACCTAATTTAACCCTTTCTTTTGGACATGTTTACAGAATGATCTAGTGGCTTGTACGCCATTGTACTGGGTGCTCAACTTATTACAGGTACGTTTACATCTTTCATATCAAACACTACTTTTTATTAACTCTATTCTCTCAAGTATTCGCTATGATCATTATGTGTGCAAGCGTTTTTGCCTTTTTTATGTATTTATGAATATCCTGCTACTTTGGCACTTACAAAATCCTGTTGTGTATTTGAGTCATATCGGTAGGCATTATCTTTGAATGGTGAGGTTGAGTCTTATTGAATGCATTTGTGTTTTCAGTTTCCAGTAGCACTGGGGGTGTTCGGATATGAATGTGTGAAATTGTACAAGGAGAGCAAGAAGAGGAGATTAGAAGGGAACCAAGAGTCAGTATGTGAGGCTGACATTCAATGGACCGCCACAAACCTTATATTTTGTGCGCTTTGTGGTATATTGGGAGGCACTGTTGGAGGATTGCTCGGATCTGGTGGTGGATTCATTCTTGGCCCTCTTCTTCTTGAGATTGGAGTCATCCCTCAGGTATGGCCATCCTCATTTTTCTCGTATCTCGATTAGGATCTCCTATTGGAATTTGATTACGTCGAGAGCAGCATAGTCCTTGAGAAGCCAACACATGAATAGAGAGGGGTTGGTAGGGGGGACCTTATAACTTCCAACAACTTGAGTAATGTAAAAGAGAAATACTGCTGTTCTAAAATTGACAAAAAGGACCTATTTTTTCACTTCTACAGGTAGCTAGTGCGACTGCGACATTTGTGATGATGTTCTCGTCATCTTTATCAGTTGTGGAGTTTTATCTTCTCAAGAGATTCCCAATTCCTTACGGTATATTCTTAGTCTTAATAACTTTCTTAAGATTTCGACATAAATCATGTGCAACATTATCCATAACTAAACTCCTATTGCAGCTCTATACCTCATGAGTGTATCTATTCTTGCTGGATTTTGGGGACAATGCTTCATTAGAAAACTTATCACGATTTTAAAGCGTGCATCAATCATCGTGTTCATACTCTCTGGTGTCATTTTCGCCAGCGCTCTCACAATGGGTAAGTCGATAAACTATTATACTAACGTTCAAACTGTCATCAAATCTTGAAAAGCAAAGAAAAGACAGAATTTCCCCTCCTATCTTTTGTTAATGTGGCGATGGTTTCAGGGGTGATTGGTATAGAGAAGACCGTTCGTATGATCCACAATCACGAGTTCATGGGGTTCTTGGATTTCTGCAGCAGTCAGTAATTCTGTGTTTCGACTAGAAAACTATTGGTGAACTAGAATATATACATGTAAAGAGCAGCAGCAGCAGAATAAGAGTTGTTGGCCAATGCCTAATTGACCAACCATTTGAAGAAGTACAGTACAGTAGTATATCATCGAAAAACCGGGTAATTTGCTTGTGTGTTAGCTAGCGCTGACACCAACATCATCCATTTTTCTTACAAAGTAAGATGTTAGTGTGACTATTTGTCTGTGAGTTAGCTAGCGCTAACGCCAGCTATAGCCACGTCTATTTTTCCATTTATTTGCTGTTAAAATATTGTGCTTGGGGTTCACTATGCTTGTGACTGAGTGTTAGCTAGCGCTAACACCAGTGCATCGTTTACATTTGCTTTATTTTTGTGTGATTGAACTGGTTCTGTCTGAGGGTTAGCTAGCGCTAACGCCAACAGAATCATCATCCACCACCACCACCACCATTTGTATTTTTACCATGTTATATTGGTCAGTTGATGTGGAATGAAGTTTATGATTCGTTCTACTATTTATCGTACAATAGACTTAATATAGTTCGATCCCTCTCTAGACTCTTCATAGCCCTCGTTTTATGTGTTATTATTCATTTCTAGTTCTTGAAAGTCAATATTGGTGATTGAAGATGACTAGGAGTAGATGTTGTTTCAAGGAGGAATGAATATTTACTAGTCCACTAGAAATTGAGAGTCTGTCGAAAACACGACTCTCGATAGATTTGCATAAAACTATTTATGGGATTACCTTGTGTATATGGTTGTTAAGTACTTATCGCCTCACACACTACAAATACTAACGGTATAATAATTGTTTTATCTTTTTTTTTTGAAAAAAATATGATGTTCGATATAAGAAATATATGTTATTTCTCGCATAAAAAATTGTATTTTGTAGAATAAAATACTCTCTACTAAAAATAACTCTAATTTTCAAGACTTGAGCGAATCTGATTAAAAATGAAGAAATATGTACGAACCACCACAAACTAATTTTGATGGTGCAATAATTGCTTTGTCCTTTGATATCGACTTGTATAACGTGAAGCACCACATGTACTATTCGTCGTCCATTGTCTTATTTTGGACAACTCATTTAAGGATCGATTAATGACGCAAACAGATATTTAAATTTGATCTCAGTTAATAAATAAATATTTTAAATTTGAAAGTGCACATCTAAACATCGGAATAACTACTTACGTTACATTTTCTTTTGAGATATCGTTTTTCCTCAAACCGTATATAAACAAGAAATACTTTATTCATCCCACTAATAATAACAATGAATTTGAAATAACCATTATCATTTTTTGGCAAGTCTCTTTTATTCTATTTTGTTCTTTGTTTTGCCACTTAGTGGAAAGAATATATTTAGTAAAAAAAAATAGTATTTTATGTGATAATTGAACATATACACATATATATGGACCATGAGATTCATTAATTAAGGCAATGTTGACATATGAACAGAAAGATTGCTCTAGAAAAATGACATTTTCAACTTTGTTGCTTAAAGTGGGTTCCAAGATTAATAATGTTCTAATTAACTAATTAACTACCCCTTGACATCATGTTGTTAAGTGCCAATTAGTTCTAATTGATAACCTCAAAGCCATGATGATTATAATTATGATTTCGGCTTTTTTTTTGGGGGGGTTTTCTGTCCGATATTCGAAGCCCATATTGGAGCTCAAACTAAATTCAAATCGAGCACTGCAAGCCCATATGGGGGTGGCGCTCGCAACATTATTTTCTCCACATTCAGGGCTCAAACTCGAAATATTTTGTTAAGGGTGAATCACTCTCACCAATGTACCACAACCCATGTCAGGGATTTTGGCTTAATTGCTTGTAGTTCAACAACAATCCTTTCAATTGTTTCACATATTTTTGTAAGGGATAATTGTATTGAATGGCAAACTAATAATATAAAATAAATATAGTAGTTACCGTTTGATTTATTTGTGTTCCATAACAAACTGTTTGTCAGTCTCTCTTTCCCTCGTATTTTCGCTCGCCAATCTCCCTCTCTCGCTCGCCTCTCTCGCTTTATACAATAGAATTGTATAAATTGTGTTTCTAATTGTATAAAGCGAGAAAAAGTTGTATATACACATGCAAATACATATATCTCCGTCTTATACACTTATAATTGTACAATAAAGTATTTTCCTGCCCAAGCCTCTTTTGTCTTTCTCTCTTTCTCGTTTTATACAAATTCAAATTGTATATAATTTCTCTTTTATACAATTCGATTCAATTGTATATTCCCTGCCCAAGTCTTTTTTGTCTTTCTTCCTTTCTCGTTTTATACAAATTCAAATTGTATTAAATCGCCCCTATACACTTATAATTATACAATTCGTTTTATACAATTCTCTGCCCAAGTCTCTCTCTTTCTCGTTTTATACACTTCGCTTTATACAATTCGCTTCAATTGTATATGTATAGCAGATTATACATATATATGTTTGCTATGAAGCGGAATTATGCAAACTTTTTTATAACATACAAATACGAATTTTATGTTTGCTATACGTAAAAAGTTGCACTTTTTTTAATTATTATTATTCAAATTATCTATAATTTGTCAATGAAAGTGATGGGAGTTTAATTGAAATGTGAAATTTGTAAAAAGAAATTAACGATTCAGATATATTTTCACCTCTTTAATCTACTATATTATGTAGCTTCAACCTCTACTTTAAATTAGAATCAGGCTTTAACTAATAACACCAATAGATTTCAACTCGATTCAAGGCTTGAACAAACGGGAAGAAGAGAGGGCTAAGGAAGATTTTCTTTTAAAAACATAAAATCGCGCAATCAGATAGGTGTGAACTGAATAAATGGTGCAAACAAGAAAACAGAACAGCTGTGAACAAATAAACTTTATATTAAAAATGCTCGCGATAAGCTTTGTATCGAAATAATTTATGAATTTTATGTAAACATAACAAGGATTCAAGAGCTAAGTGTGCTATAGTTGGATAGTTACCTGTATATGGTCCAATGAATTGATAAATTGCTTTCAGCTCTGGACCGCGAAAATCTGCAGTGTCCTTGCATGCTTGTTCTGGAGCAGCTCATAGATTTGGTCCCCGCGGACACCTTTTCACACGCACATTTACCTAATAGTATCCTTGTGGTAGAACCATGACATTTGTTCAACGACAAGATGATTGAATAGCAGAAATGATACTTAGTAGTAGAAACTCGAAGAGACACACAAAGAGGGGATGACTCTTTTATATTGGTCCCCTACACACAAACATTTACCTTGTAACATCTTCATTTGTGAAGCCATGGAGTTCATTCAATGAGAAGATGATTGAATAGCAGAAGTGCTACTTAGTACTAGAAACTCGAAGAGACACACAAAGGGGGGATGACTCTTTTATATTGGTCCACATACACATGACACGCGTTTTTACTTTCACATTTACCTAGTAGTATACTCATTTGTGTAACCATGGGATAGATGATTGCATAGCGGAAGTGCAACTTAATCTTAGAAACTTGGAGAGACAAGAAAGAGAGGAGACTCTTTTATCGTACCTGATAACTCTAGGATAAGTAGTAGGTCCCTTGTTTTTGGCAAGAAGAGTTACATGGTTCCTTATGCTAATGAATTGTAGAGCACGCTGTCAAACATCATCTTGGAGAAAGATGCTGTAAGGGCATGTTCTTGGACATCTATTTGAGACGAAGTGGTTAAAACCTATGTTTGTTTGGACTCTCCAAAAATGCTGTCGTGTCTGTGTTGGATCTTCCAGAAATGCACTACTTTTGAGGGATCCGACATGCACCCATTGGCAATCTTGAAGAGTCCGAGCAACATAGGTTAAAACTTATAAACTGCCAAGTATCAGAATTTGACTGAGTAACTTCTGAAATTTTTTATGTTCTTGCTGATAGCTATTTTCCCAATTCCAACCTCCATTACCTCCCTCTCTTCTTCATTCTGTTTCTTAGTTTGGTCAGAGTTTAGAGCGTCAACGGCTTTAGATTGTGCATCAGGCAAGGAAAGTTCCAACAGTCGTGGACCTGCATTGATCCATGAGTGAAGAAGGCACTGAGCTGCAGTAGGCCGTTTCTCTGGGACAAAATCAAGTATTGGGACCAGAAAATCAGACAAGTCCTTTGCGTCTTGCTCGCTGAATTCATATTTCTCTACTAGAACCTTCTTTAAGGGCCAAAAGCGCAACCGTCTAATGTGCCTCAAATCACCATGTCTATTGAATAAATCACGTGAATAACGACCACCCAAGGCAATCTGGAAACAAAATAGCAAACTTTATAAAACTACAAAAGGACAAAAAACATAATTCAAAGTTGGAAGTGATTATATGAATTTTCTTACTTTTCGTGGCATCATTCCTATAAGCTCCATCATCAGTGCTAAGTGATCCTGCAAAGATTAGGTTACCCCTTTTAATTTTATAACCATAAAAGATTAGGTTAAAATATGTTCTTCTTGCATTGCTTCACCAAGTATGTATGTTATGGTCACTGGATAAAGGAGTGTCCCGACATACAAATCGTCTATCAAAGATGAATACTTCTTTTATATAGCTGATCCCGTCAAACATGGCAATGAAATGTAGTTGATTGATTGGTTCAAAAGATTAGGTCAAAATATAGCAAAACATAATTGAAGCGAGAATTTGCAACAACTTTAAATGTAGACCTCTCATTTCTTGCTTGGCAACTACAAGTATTTTCAATATCTGTCTAAGTGCATAATAGTATTCTAGCCCTTTGTTCATCGAACAAAGAGGATATGAAATTCCACAAGATATGTTTAATTTCTCTCAACAGTGACTAAAACTTGAATCCAGCATTCTGTTCAAATTAACAAGGTTCACTTCGCAGAAACAAATAAAAGCATTGACAATCAAGAGTGGAATAACTAACATGATAATCAACATTTTGGTGAAAAACAGAACCAAGACATCGTAAGAGAAAGATACTTACCGTGGTATGGAAGAATAGTAAAATAATAGATTGGAAATAGTGTTCAGAAGTCAGAACAGTATGTACTTTTAGTCCTCTAAATTTTAAATAGCAAAACCACGTTTTCACTTTATCTTCTACTCTTTTGGTCAATTTGTTCACATAAACCGTTGATCACCTAAATCACACAATTGACCAACTATAAAAGAAGATTGCTAGAGTATCAACAAAAGACGTGCGTTTTGAACTTAACATGGATCTGTATGAAAAGCGGAAGGAAAAGGAACAGGTCCACGCCACAATTTAAGTAGTAGAATTTTGGAGAGACCAAGAAGGACTGGAATATACTGTCCCTAGCTTAATCGTGTACTTGGCACCCAAGGGTATGACCTAGTAGTCAATGAAGCAGGTGAGCACCATGAGATCTTAGGTCCAATTCCCAAAAGAGATAAAACATTACGTGATTTCTTCCAATCTGCCTTGGTGGGGTGAGAGGTGACACGTACCCCGTGGAATTAGTCGAGGTGCGTGAGCTGGCCTAGACACCACGGTTATCCAAAAAATAAAAAAGGTTAATCATGTACTTGTAAGGTACTATATAGACTACAAGCGGTATAATAATTCCCAGATGAGTAGAAGACTGTGTTCTTCCGACATCTGAACACTGTGTGAATACGAATCTTCTCCCTACTCTTCACAAATTTGGTCATCAAGAGAGACTATTTGCTGATCTGTGTTCCAACACCAACCATTAGAATCCTTATATTAAATTTTCTTATAAAATCTAATAGTGAAACTTTTGAGGTTGAGATGACTTGTTGAGTAGAAGTTGACTTTTTATTTGACAGTAATAAAGCAATCACAGAAAAAAATTAGATAAATGTGTCATCAAGTAAAACCACTTCTACTATGTTGCAACTCTTAGTTCAGCAATTTGATTTGAAGTAGAGAATTTATAGCATAATCAGCAAGGAAGTGGGACACTAAAACATCGCTTTATTCACAACATAACAAAGGTTTGGGTTGGCTCAAATACTCTGTCAGTGAGGTGGCTAAATCGAGTAAGGTGTGACCATCTCAAAAATAAAATCTGCTTAAAAGTATCGGATGAAACCGAAATGGTTGACAATCGGTCGTTAGCAAAATTGAGAATCCAATTAAATGAGAATCTTGTTTCAAGTCAAAACATCGTATACCATGAAGTAGAATTAAGCAAATGAGTACTAGTGCTCCAAGTATGTGATGTGATGGTCGAGTTTCTTAGAAGTCTCCCAGAAATTTTATATAACCATGCTTGAGGAAAAAATCAGATAAGTTACAAGAAACAAAAGCATTCCCAGACTAGACATATCTTTACTTATAAGGAAAATAAAACGCAAGGCTAAAGATAAGATTAAAGGGCCTTCTATGTAGTCGATGCTTCTGTTTCCATTGATGGAGAGGTAGTAGTTGCTTCTCTCGTCAAGTTCACGTGAGTTCTTGGAGTACTTTTGTAAGAAAGTCCCCATGGCGTGCTATAAAATGAAATTAGAGTGAACGTGAGGGAGGTGGGAAGCTACCACTTCTATAATGGAAGCTTATCCTTTACTTTTTTTTGGAGTGTGTTGCTATTTTGAAATGAAAAAAGGTTTATGAATGAGTAATCGGAATGAGAAGTGGTTAAGGTTGAGGAAATAGGAGAACAAAAAGTATAAACAGAGGCATCATAGACTTAGCAAACCACAATATAATGCGTTGAACCACCTTAAAGAGAAATCACTCAATATCAAAGTCGACACAAATTCTCTCTCAAGGTATGCAAATTTGCAACAATAACATTAAGCAAACCAACCAGAAAATAAGTAGTAATGCAGTAATGCACCTATACCTCATCTCTGTCAAAGTTATCACCACTGTGAGGATCAAATAACACATCGCCAGTTGCAAGCTCAAAACAAATGCAAGCGAAGGACCAAAGATCTGCTGAGGTTGAATATTTTGATCCAAGGATAACTTCAGGACACCTGTACTGTCTAGTTTGAATATCATCCGTGAACTGTTTGTATGTCCAACAAGCACTGCCAAAGTCAACAACTTTGCATTTAAGGTCGACTGCCTCCAATAGCTTCCTCCTTGTAGAACGACTGCCTCTCTTAGGACCCTCATATTCTTTCCCGCTGCCTTTTGCAGTATCAGCATTTGACATTCTATTAGAACTATTCAACATATCCGAATTTGATTTTGCACTGACAGATGACTCCGCAGAAGCTGAGCTATCTTGTCCACCCTTAGTCCCGAGAGAAGATTCTTTTCCCACAAAACATTGAGCTGCTTGTTTGGCCTTTCGTCTAATCTTCTTATTGTGGTTCTTCGTCAAATTTCCATTTGATGTTACATAACCCTTCACAGACCCGCCATCCAGCGTGGTTATATCCTTATGACTAGAAAGTATAAGAGGTGTTCCAGATTTTCGGGGATCCTTAGATGGATCTATTGTGGAACAGAGAAGTACGTTCTCGGGTTTCAAATCGGTGTGTATGATCGAAAGCTGTCTATGCAAATAATCCAATCCCACTAGAACATGATAACAGAGCTCTTTAACCATATGAATAGGCAGTCCATGATAATCAGTATATTTAAGAAGTGTCAAGAGATTGTCACCCAAATACTCAAAAACCATACACACATGTTGCCCATTTGGACCTGAGTGCTTAAAATTATCCAGTAACTTCACAACACATTTTTTATCATCCTGATCGCATTCTGCAATCTGTTTTAGAATAGTGATCTCATCCATCGCTGCTTCCGTGTAATGCTGAGCACTCTTTTGCACTTTCAATGCCACAAATCGCTGCATCATTAACAAAAATATACACATCAACTTCTTACATCTCGGTGAGAGTTACAAACTAAAATTACTACCAACTCAGAATTCTAATCCGAATTCTTATTCATCAGTTATTACAGAGGTTTGAGCAGGCATCCCTCTTTATGCAGTTATGCACAATTAGTTAAACTAGGCCAAAAACATTTTACTCCTACATCAACTGCCGCAAACCACTTGAAGTCCACTAACAACCACCTCACAGGTGGGGTATGGGGAGGGTGGGGCGCACAGACCTTACCTTACCTTGGTAGGCTAGAGAGTTTGTTTTCGATAGAAACCACTTGTATTCAACTATGATTATTATCATGATGATTATCTTGAAGATGTATAACATTTAAGCTCATTTAAAAGAAACTAACTGCTAAAAACTTGATAAGCAACCTAAAGATTCAACCTTTTTTCTCCATCATATATCACACATCAAAATCACAATATACAATATAAACCACAACATTTCCAGTGTAATCCCACAAATGGGGTCTGAGGCCTAAGGTAGAGTGTACGCAGAGTACCTTACCCCTACCTCATAGAGATAGAGAGGTTGATAAACCCTCGACTCAAATAAGGCATGCCCCACAGTTTGAAAAAGGAGGGGATACAAACACGAGAGCAATAACAAGAACGACATAACGAGCACTACACAACAACCAGGAGACACAATAACAACAACAAAATAATGCAATGATCGGAGCACAAAAAACACCAATCATTGATCACCCACCATCCTAAAACTAGCAGATTATGAAAAATCACATGAAATGGTTTGCTCTAAACTAAGGCCAAAGATGATTACAAAACAAAAGGTTCATCAGGTTCAGTTCCCAGCTTCAAACCCAAAAAGAAACCACTAGGTGTCACAACAAGTAACATGAAATTAGTCGAAGTGCGTGTAAGCTATTCCCGAAAAGGTGTCTCATCAGAAAACTTACAGACAATAGAGTATCCCAAGCCAACCAAACAGTAGAGAAATGACCCCAACCAAGCTTACTCTGTACCACATATCTACCTCCATTAAAACTATCACCTATTCGAACAGCATGATAACCTCCCCTCCTGTAATCATCAGTACCTTCATCCTCCGAACTACAATCATCACTACTCTCCTCCACCTCCACCTCCTCCACCACCTCCGCCGCCGCAGCATTCACCCGCCGTTCTTGATTAAACCCCTCCATTTCCCCCCCAAATTGAATTCTGTAAATTGGGTCTATGAAAAGAATCAATTTTTCCTCTTTCTGAACCAAATGGTGTCCACAGTTCACTCCAAAGCTCTATAAAATCCTCTTTTTTTGAGGTATTAACTGATTAATTCACTGTAAAAACTTGGGGTTTTCTTCTTGGAGTTCAAACAGGACATGGGGATTTTGTGAATGTGAGTGAACGGAGGAAAGAGATGATAGAGATAACGACGAGGAAGCAGGTGAAGCTGTCTACTCCTCCATTCGTTTGCTTGTGGACTTGTTCCACATGTATACCACTGAATTCTTTACTCTCATTCCTCTGTTACTTCTTCCATAATAACATGTCAATAGTTTTTCCATCTGTCCTTTACCTACATTTAGACACCGCAATTTGACGTAAATTATTAGTTTCACCGATTGAATGATTGATAACTTTAAATCATTCATCTCACGAATTGACTATACTATAGACACCGCAATTTGACGTAAATTATTAGTTTCACCGATTGAATGATTGATAACTTTAAATCATTCATCTCACGAATTGACTATACATAGATACACTCTGATCACTCTCGATTTGTCACAAAAACATAATAAGTGGTTTCAAACTCCTTCTAAGTGTTTTTAATACTTCTCTTTTTAACTTTGATACGAATTTTTTAAATATAATAAATTTTATAATATATTACTCTATTCTTTCACTTTTATTTGTGATATTGTGATTTTTTAAAATTAATTTGTCAAAATTTCAAAATTAAATTAGATTATGTTAATTTGATATTTTAAATAAAAAATTTAGATATTCAAAAACTAATATGAAATAATTTTCGTTCATTTTTATTTATCTTAATTTTTCATTTAAAAATCAAAAAATAACTGATCACTTGATCCCTAATTTAACCATAGAAAAAGACATTGGCAATTTTAATGTTATTTCACTCAACTTAGACCAAGTTTAAGATGACTCATTATGCTTCAATGTATTATATATCAGTTGTCAATTTTGTCCTTGTCACAATAATCTAAATGATAAGATTAAGTTATTTAATCCAATATGATTTCAATATTTATATGTTTTTGATGAATAATTCAATTTATATTTATTCTTATACAATACCTTTACTAGTATTAATATACTAAATTCAAAAGAGATTTTTAATGAGGGTTGACGATGAAGCTTAACTTTATTGTTTCACAAAAATAATTATATATCATTTTAAATCTGTAGCTAATATTTAAAGTTTGTATCGATTTAATAATATACATCAACATTTCATAAATATTATCTAAACTTGTCTACCGTAGTTTACGCAATTTATCAAAGATTTCTTCATAGACTTTTGCGCAAATCACATACAAGAAAATATTATATTGTATTCCAAAATTTATTGCAAACGTCAAATAACCTTTATTTAGTTGTATTGTTGCGTATTGACATAGTATCTTATTTTTTTCGATTTTTATTACTATATATTGTTACATTTGCTCTGTTTATCTTGTTATTTTACGAGCATTATTTTTCTTTCTATCGTGTTTTGTTCTATCGAAAACAACCTCCCTATTACACAAGGGTAAGGGTAAGGTTGTACATACTATCTTTTTTTGAACGTCAAATATCGAACTACACTGAGTATGTTAGGATTATTATAAGATTGAACGATATATGAATTAGATTTGAATGTAACGTTATTCTAAAAGGCAATTTCCGAAGGTTAAAAATGGAATGTAAACAAGCCCATATTGAGGCCCATTAAGTTGGGCTTGAATAGTAGATCAAATAGTCTTTTGGGCCTTAAAAAAACCTAACAAATCCCCAATATATAAAGTTAAAGTCTCACTAGGGTTTTATTTTCTTCCATTGAAGTACAGCACCGGAGGAGGAGCTCGCCGCAGCAACAACAACAACATCAGACATGGTGCTAAAGTAAGTTATCTTATCTCTATGTTGTAATTTTCAATAATTTTAGTATTTTGGAGAAACCCCATTTGATAATTGTATTGGTAGAGAGTTTAATTTACCATTTTCATAGAAGTGAATCTGAAGTGTTTTGAGGTTGATCCTCTCTGGGTTTTGCTAATTTGAGTTTTTAGTACGTGAGAAATGGTCAAAAATCGAATCTTTATTGATTTTGCTATTGTTTTTGGGTGATTTATGGTCATGTGTAGTGTAGATTGGAGTGTGTTGTAGGAGGTAAAGATGTTCGTGAAGCCTTGTGTTGTTTGGACTCTTGGACAGTACTGCTGAGTGTGTGTGGGATTTTTACTACACGAAAAATGGTTAAAGATCAAATCTTTATTCTGTTCATCATCCTTGGGAGATTTATGAACAGGTGTAGGTTAGATTGGAGTCTATTGCAGTAGGAAAAGCTGTTCTTGAATCTTTATGCAGCTCGGACTCGTTTAAATTATGCTTGGGTGTGTATTGGATCTTACGAAAGTGGTGGGTTTTTTGATGATCCAACATTGGGGTGTCAGTATTTTTGGAAAGTTGAAGTAACATAGTTGAAATCCCTCTATTGGTGAAATGTAGCTTCACTCTTCTTGGTTCTTGTGTTTGATTGTTTGTGTGTTTTGGAGGATCCTACATGTGGTTGTCAACATTTTTGGAAGGTCCAAGTAACGTAGTTGAAACCCCTCTATTGGTAAATTGTAACTTCACTTCTCTTGGATCTTGTGCTTCGGTTTTTGGGGTTTTAGTTATTTTGATTGATTAATGCATAATTAATATGAGAGGGGAGAAAATGGATGAGAAGAGGAGCACATTGGTAAATTGTTACTGTAAAGGTTTTGTCCTTCTATATTGATTCCCACAGAGATTAAATTTGATGTAACTGAGTATTGTTTCTCTGATTAATGTTAAGATAGCTTAATCTCAAGTCTTAACATGTTTTTTCTACATTGCTTGCCTGTATATTATTTCTAAGAATTGTTCAATATTTTCACGATTTACAATGATTACAACTGATTCAGCTTTACACTATCTGAAAAATGTGTACACTACCTATGATATATATCACTGATAATAACAAGAACAGATGATTTATGAACTGCCTTAACGGGGGAGGTACTTGTCGGCTGAATTTGTAATGGTTCAGCTAGTCATTTGTTCTATTTGAGGAGTTACCTCTTTCTTGTGTTATTGCCGACATGCCTTTACATTTGGTTTGCCCTGGTTGCTTTGAAGCATTGTAAGTGATGACTCATTACTTTTATTCTTACTTCTATTGCAGGACAGAACTTTGCCGTTTCAGCGGTGCCAAGATATATCCTGGGAGGGGCATCAGATTTATTCGATCAGATTCTCAGGTAACATGAAAACCCATTTCTTGCAGACGGTAGTTAACGTGATTTGTCTACTGATTATAGGACGCAAAGTCGTGATTGCTTATAGTATTTTCTGGTCCTTGTAGGTGTTCCTATTTGTCAACTCAAAGTGCAAACATTACTTCCACAACCGCCTGAAACCTTCCAAGCTTACATGGACTGCCATGTACAGGAAGCAGCACAAGAAGGTGAGTCTGGAAAAAAGCATTTACAAGCTTCGTTTTCTGAACTTAATGTCTGCTTTCCACTTCGAATATTTTCCACTAGCATTCCAAACATAGAACGATATAACTTTGTGATGTGAAGTTGTACACTGAGATTTACTTTGTTTTACGTCGTTTATTGAGGAAAAATGTTTTATCAGATTATACTGCTTTTATGTTTTGCCATTTCATATGCACTATTGCCTATTTTAATTTGTTTTTCTTTTGTGCGTGTGCTCAATAACATTAGGATATTGCACAAGAAGCTGTTAAGAAGAGGAGACGTACCACAAAGAAACCATACTCTAGGTCCATTGTGGGTGCAACCTTGGAGGTAATCCAGAAGAAGAGAGCTGAAAGGCCAGAAGTTCGAGATGCTGCCAGGGAGGCTGCTCTTCGGTGCGTATTAACTAAGCTTATATTGCCAATGTGGCTTTGTGCATCTTTTGAAATGGGAGACTGATTAGTTTGTTTGTTTGGTTTCTGCAGTGAAATCAAAGAAAGAATCAAGAAAACAAAGGACGAAAAGAAGGCCAAGAAGGCAGAGGTGGTGGCTAAGTCACAGAAAGCCGGTAAGGGTAATGTGTCGAAGGGAGGATCAAAAGGCCCTAAGCTCGGCGGCGGTGGTGGAAAACGTTAAGCTATTGTTTATGTTGTTCGCTAGGTAGCGCCTAGAGTGATTTTGCATCTTGATTGAGTGTAGCTATGTTCTGATCCACCAGCGTTTAGCGCGCACTCTGAAACAATATATTTCTGAATTTTTGCCTTGTTTTCAAATATCCAGATTGCTTTACTTTCATTATGTTATGATAATTACAATCTTGTTCCTTTATGAGAAATGCATCTTCCTTGCATTATATTGATGGTAGTATTTGCCTATAGTATATCCCTATTGCTTATTGTGAGGCATTTTAGGTAAAAAAAAGCACAAAGGAAAAGCATTTGTTTTGAAGTTCGATTAATTTAGTGTTACGTCTTTCCATTATTGTGGAAGTGCACTTCTTTTCTACTTTCATAGTGTAGCTACGAAAATTTTGGACTTGAACCAGAGACCTCTCGTTTTCGATGTAAATTGTTGTACCTTACTATCTATATTTTTTAGAAAGAAGTAAAATGTTACACCTAAGTTCAAGTATGTATCCAAGTTACATACATGGAGAAGAATGATGGGAGACTGAAGAGCAAAGTAGAAACACAAATTTTGTGTCAAGATGTATAATTGTATATCAAATAGATTGCATTGATTTTTTAAAATATTACTTTATTTCATTTAGCTTTCGAGAATAATTTAATTGACTCTTGATAATCAAAACATGACGAGTATTTTAGAAGAGAGTTCAATTTGTTTAGAAGGAAACATGAGGCTTGCCAAGTTTGGTGAAGGCACTCTTTCTTTTCGTTGATCGAATATATTTCTTTTACTTATTTCATTCAGGTCTTTACAAATTCATATAATTATAATTGATGCCTCGACAACGACTATCCGTGGAATATTTTATTTCAATCAAAATTCAAAATTTGCAAAGTATTATAACTAACAACATTAATTAAACACTATCCGTTCCATACTATATATTCCATTTGTCATGACACTTTAAATTTCGAGATTCAAATAAATTTATCTTTGATCATAAATTTATCATATATATTTTAATTATTTTGAATTCTTAATTATTGTGACTTATAATACATTTTACGAAGTATTTCAAAAGATTCGTAGATTTCACGCACAAAGTTTTGGTCAAATTTAAGCCGTTTGACTCTCGAAAAACAAAAAAAAGTATCAAATAAATTGAGACAGAAGAAGTAAGGAAAAAAAACCCGATGATATTAATGTCAATACAACAAAACAGTAGTACAACCTTACAAATTTCAAACTAATAAAAACCACTTAACACTCCTAATCTGAAATATAACATCAAATAATCAAACTAAACTCTGCTACAACTCTATTCTCAATTTCTAATTAATCTGTTTTAGGTGTTAATTAAAGATAAAACTAAACCTAACAAATTAATTAGATGTAGCACAATTAAGTTAAAATTAATCTCACTTCATGGATATGTTGGCAATGTGGCCCAATAAGGTGGCATCACTGGGTTAAGCCCATCTACAACATTATTAAAAACATAGCTACATTCAGCAATATTATTATTATTATTAATATTATTATTTTGATGGTTACTTATAGTAACTCCTCTTGTAATTGTCTTGTTTGAACTTGGCATTGATGTGCTTTCGACTGTTTCTTCACCTGATATTTCAGTGTAAACTGTGGAATTTACTTGTTTCTTTGTGGCTTGTTCCTTCAAAATTGCTCTTAATGCCAATACCTATCAAGAGAAAAAAAAAATGAGTTTAACTTCTATACACTGACAGTGTAACGGATTTCATATAATATAACAATAATAGTAATATATACAGTGTAATTATACAAGTGGAGTCTAAAAATAATAGTTTATTTTTAAACCATTGAGTCAATTCCTAGTCTTATGTTCAAGGAATTCAAAATTTGTATACATAGATAATACAAAAATAATACGTCATATATATACTATGTAATTTTTTTTATTGAGAGTGATCGGGTGAATCGGACCCCTATATCCGCCCTAGAATGTACGGAGTACACACTGTCTTTATTTTACATTTTTAGAGGTACAAAGGTTGTTTTCAATAGACAATCAGCTCAAGTAACACATATAAAATTGAATATAACAGTGATAAAGCTATGTTGAAAACAATGGAGAAAAGAACAGTAGCAACAATAATATTATTGACACTTTTTGAAACTTTTGTTGTGTTTTTTTAAATTTTATTTTATATTTCACTCATATAATTGTCTTTACATATTTTTTTATAATTTAAACTGTATGAGAGAGAATAATTTTTTATTAATTAAAAAAAAAGGAAAAGGGAATAGGGAACAATGTTGTATGATGTGTCAATTTCAATTTCTATTACAAGGTTTTATTAGGGAACACATAAATTTATTTTAATATTTATTTATTTGCATTCAATTAAACCCACCTTGCTTTATAATAATGATGTGGACTACTGAAGTAAAAGTTGTCTCCATACTTAATTATATATATATATATCAATGAATTCAATGATTTAAATCCATTAAATGTATAGTTCATCTTAAACATTAAAATTTTGTGAGACTCTACAAGACATGTTCAATTCGAGTTGATATTCTACAAGGTGTCCTCAGTTTCAATTAGGATTTTCGGAGGTTACTTAACCGTAAACCCTTAGAAATGCATCACAATCATTCTACAAATTCATGGATAATTTATAAAGAGATCAAATCCAAATCAACCTAGTTCGAGAAATACTCCACTGACGACCCCGAATCAAGGGAATAACAGAATTGTACCTGTATATTTATTAATAAGGTTATGTTTGTTTTTTTTTCCTGTGATTTTCTGTCACTTTAAAATTTGTCGTAAACGGTGAGAACATGTGCATGAATTGCATGGATATAAAAGAAATTAAATGGAGAAAGAATTGTCTACCTCATCTTGAAGCTTTTGTTTTTCCCTTGAGACAACATCATAGTCTTGTTTAAGTGAATCATAGAGTCTTTCAAGTTGTTTAGCCTTCCATCTAGCTCTTCTATTTTGGAACCAAACAGCAATTTGTCTTGGTTGTAATCCAAGTTCTTTAGCCAATTTCATTTTCCTGTCTGGATCAAGTTTTATCTCTTCTTGAAAACTATTCTCAAGTGACTCTAATTGATCACTTGACAACCTTTTCTTCTTGTCCAATTGATGTTGATTGAGTACAAAGTTGTTGTTGTTGTTGTCCATTGTTGGGACTTGTACTCCACCATGTTGTGTTTGCATTGCATGCTTCATTTCAATACCTTCAAATTCACAAAAATAAATACGTGTTTAAGTTTTACGCACTGATATTAATTTCAAAATATAATGTATGGACTTAAATGGTAACCGCAAGTAACTCCATTAGATAACATTATATTTTTCTTAGGATAATTTTCATCCGACTGATTGAAATTCGTGTTTAGAAGTTCTACCTCCCTATCGAAGTTTCGTGACTCAAACACACAAGACCGCTGATTAAGAATAAAGAAGTATTTACCAGCCGCTAATAACCTCTCTTGATTTTTAATAACTTTTAGAATAAACTAAACATGCTATAACATATTCCCTATCGAAGTTTCATGACTCAAACACAAAATAGCCGATTAAGAATAAGAAAGTATTTACCGACCACTATAACCTCTCTTGATTTTTAATAACTTTTTAGAATAAATTAGACATACTATAACATATCAAATTACACTAAATTCATTATATTGTACATAGCTTTCTTAATCCTTGAAACATTATAATAGTATTGTCATATTTTTTATTTTTTTTGAAATAGTCAATCATGAGGCTGGAAAAATTGGTAATTACAACTAACACCTCCACACCTTATCCCAACAAAAAAATACATTTTTTTATGACAAAGTTCTATAAACATGCTTCAAAATTAAATGAAAAGCAAAAATATCTAAATCAAGTAAAACTTTTTTTTAATAAAAAAAGTATCAATAAGGATAAATAGTATATGAATAAATAAATAAATAAAATTGCTATTTTTTTGTAATATATTTACCTGGATATTGGTCATAATTGTAGTTGTAGAGAAAATTGAGAGAATTATCAATAACTTGTCTTGAAACAAAAGGTCTAATATTTCCATTCCAATCCATAATTTTTTTCTTCTTTCTAAACAAGGCAAAATTTCAAGAAAACACACAAAATTCTATCCCCTTCAATATATTGATAAATACTCCTTTTTTTTTCTTTTTCTAGTACTCAAAACAATGGACCACTTTAAAAAAATAATAAAACAAAATTTTTAAAAAAAGGTTTTTTTTTCTTTTTTATGGTTTTGTCTTATTGATAAAGTTTTGGAAACTTTTTTTGGTTTTTTTTGAAGAAACAAAAGTGAAAAAATGATAAGAAGATGTTGTAGGGAGAGTTTACTACACTTTGTAGAAATAATGTCAATTTGTGAAAGAGATAGTTAGAGTATAAAGACCTTGTGAGGGCTCTATATATGCTTCACTTTTTGGAGCAACTCATAAATACCACTCCCTCTTTTGGTTCTTGGATGTTCTTTTTTTGGGACCTTGGGTGGGTGAGGGTACAATAGTGATATTAATTATTAAAAAAATATTTTTTTTATACATATTTATAATGATTTAGTATAAAGATTTTTTTTTTTACACTATGAGGATGTTAATCTAAAGAAATATGTGATTTGTAATCTTGAAATAATATAAAATTAAACAGATTATAAAAATTATTCTCTCTATTTCATTTTATGTGGTATTGTTTTACTTGATACGGTAATTAAGAAAAAAAAAGATTTTTGGAAACTTATGGTCTAAAATAATTCTTGAATATTTGCGTGGCTGAAAATCATTTTAATCAAGGGTAAAAGAGGAATTTTAAAGTTAAATTGTTTTTAATTATAGTAACGTAATATTCTTTTATCAATAAGGGTTTTAGTGGAGTAGTAAGTACTATTTCGTCCTTAATCAAGAGGTCTCGGATTTGTGCTCTTTCAGTACGTAGTCGTCTTTGTTATGAGTGTTTTACCTTCCAATATGAAACTTTCCGGTACGAATCCAAATTTAGTCGAGCTTCAATGTTGGTTATCGAGCATCGGGTGGAATTTTTTTTTAAAAAAAGTGATATTCTTTTTGAGACATAACGGAAAAAAAATCACGTAAAATGAGACAAAGTGCCGTGTGTATATATGCATATGATAGTGTGAATATTTCTTACACAGAAATACAGATTATTATATGAATGAGTTTAAGTCATATACAACACTG